GCCCCAGGAATCCAGGGTGGAAGATGCTTAGGGAACCAACAGAAGGGCAGATAAGGCTGTGAGGATCATCCGAAGGTCACAGCAGAGGAACCACGTCACACGGCTTGAGGGGCAGGGCACAAAGCTGACAGCCACCCCCTGCCTTAATTCTCCCATGGCTGCCTAGTGTCCTTCACTCCTGCAGCCCAGGCTTATCTCTGCCCTTTATTGTGGGTTCCAACCAGAATGACCTTCTCTCTCTCCCAGAAGCTTCCCCAACCCTCTCCTGGGGCTGGAGAGAGCCCAGGGGCTGTCCCATTCCCTGCAACACCCCCCACAGGGCCGGTTTCCAGGGGGCACTCAACAAATACATTGACAGGTTGGACTGGAGACCAGGGCAACCAGGGGACGTGGCCAGTGCAAAGGCCCAGGGGTGGCAGTTCAGGAGCTGTTAGCCACCCACGAGCGCCAGCACATGTGGGGGTCCCAGGAGGCTGGGACAATCCGCCGGACCTGCCGGGGGGTCTGCGGAGCAGAGAGCCATTGCGGAGCTGCCCAGCCTTCTGGGGAAGGCTGCCACTCTTTGGGTCTTGCAGCGAATCCCATGGCTGGGTAGCATTCCCCCCTGCGGATACAGCGCACTTTGCTTTTCCGTTCATGAGCCGATGGACATTCGGGGACCGGTTCCACCGTTTGGCCGCTGTGCATCGTGCTGCAGTGAACACGGGCCTGCGGGTGTGCACCCGTCTCCGTTCCTCGCGGGGCCGTGCCCAGGATGGCCAGGCTGGGCCAGGGGGTCATTCCAGGGTTAGCTTTTTAAGGAACTGCCCCCATCCCCAAGCCGGGCTCTCTCTGGCTGGTTGTCCCTGTCTGACATGGTCCTGGAACATGGGCTTCTGGGGACATTCAGACAAAAGCCCCGCAGGGCTTCCGGGACCCCCTGGATTCTGCGCATGGGAAGAAAACTGGGCAAACTGGATGCACCCGAGCATTTAGCTGTTTCCAGGCACAGAGAGGAGTCAAGACGGCGGGGCCGGCCGTGCCACCCGCACCTCCCCTGTCTCTGCCCCGCTTGCTGCCTCTAGGGAACGGGGCGGTGGGTTGGTCGTCCTCCCCGTGTGCTGCTCGGGAGGGCTGAGAGAGAGAATGGGTTGAAGATGGTCAGGGTGAAAACACCCAGGCTGAAGTCCCAGGGGCCACCGCCACCAGAGCTGGGTTAGTCACGTGCCAAACATTTGGCACTGACCCTGTACAGGGCTGGAGGCTGAGTCAGTTCTGAGTCATAGCTGCTTGCCAAGACTCGGCGCGGGGCTGGGGCACAGGACTATATACTGAATGAATGAACGAATGGTGGTGGGGAGGGGGGAGGCAGAGACCGAGACAGAGAGACACAGGCGACACTCGCGGTGCTGGCCACGCCCCAGTGCTGGGCTCTGAGCTTCATTCTGTCATTCATCTTCACTGCATCATACCCATTTTTCAGACAAGGAAACTGAGGCCCAAAGCCGCACGGCACATGGAGCGTTTCCACGGGGAAGAAGGGCTTTGCCTAAACAGTGGTTCCCGCTGGGGTGGCTGCGGCGATTCTGCCTTCCTTGGAAAAATCTGGAGACATTTTTGGTTGTCAGGACCCCGCAGGGGGATGAGGGTGCTACGGGCATCAAGTGGGTGCAGGCAGGCGACGCTGCAAGACACCCCGCGGCGCGCAGGACGGGCCCCCACCTCAAAGCATTGTCTCGCCCCAAATGTCGGTAGTGGTGAGGGTGAGAAACCCGCGTTAACTGTTTGGGGGAAAAATGTGATTTGGATGCCCAGCTCCCACTACTCACCGGAGTAAATTCCTGATGGGTTAGAGGGTGTGGACCAGGATGTCCCCCTCTCCCCTCTTCTGGGATCTCGGGCCTCTCTCCCGCCCCACTGGATGTGTTTGTTTAAATGTGTGTCGCATCCTAGGACTTCAGTAGGTCAGGTGATCACAGACATACAGTCTGCTGTGTTTCAACAGAACCCCTAACTCTGTTGTTCTCAACTTGGAGCAGCCCCGACACGCCCACCCAAGGGACACGTGGCAATGTCTGGAGACATTTTTGGAGAATGGATGTTCCAGCATAGAGCAGGTAGGTGGACGCTAGGGATGCTGTTCAACATCCTACAAATGGCCAGCGTGCGGTGGCTCGTGCCTGTAGTCCCAGAGCTTTGGGAGGCTAAGGCAGGAGGATCGCTTGAGGCCAAGAGTTCAATACCAGCCTGGGCAACACAGTGAGATCCCGTCTCTACCAAAAAAAAAAAAAAACAAAGAAGAAGAAAGAGAAGAAAATTAACTGGGCAAGGTAGGTTGTGGTTTCAGCTACTCGGGAGGCTGAGGCAGGAGGATCCCTTGAGCCCAGGAGTTCGAGGTTACGGTAAGCTATGATTACGCCATTGCACTCTAGCCAGGGTGACAAAGTGAGACTCTGTCTCAAAAAAACAACCAAAAAACGTCCTACAATGCACAGGGCAGCCCCCACACCAGAGAATGGCCCAGCCCCACGTGTCCAGAGTGCTGTCGTTGGTACACTCTGATCTGGGCACACACCGAAACCGACACGGCTCAGGCCCAGGCAATCGGAGCCATCCGGCCCTGGTGACTTTTTCAAGCCAGCTCCGACCCGTTGCCTGGGGACTCCGCGAGGTGCTGCTGGGCCCGGGTGCTGACTCAGCCTTGTCAGTGGGGCCAGGCACCGAGCCAGGAATGAGCCTACAGACGCCTTGCCCTCTGACAGCTCCCCCTGCCTCCTCCCACCGCCCATCACGCGATTCCGCAGCCGGCCTGGGGTCGGGGGCTCCCAGAAACACAGGAAACGTCTAGCGGAAAAATCGCTTCTGTATCTTTCGCTTGTTACTACGTCCATTTGGGGATGTCAAAAGCCCCTGGAAACCTTCACCCCTTCCAACCCTTTTGCATGCGCTGGGGACAATCTGAAATAATGGCCCCTGTGTGTGTACACACACACACACACACACACACACACACACACACACACACCTTAGATTGGGATGAGGCTGTAGCATGCAACGCGAAGTGTTTTCTTTTTCCATATTTAACATTTTCTAAAAGGGCACGAGTGCCTTTCATAGGAAGGAAGCGGGTTCGGGTGCCGTGTCTACACACAGGGGTCTAAGAATGAGCCCAGAAAGTGGGGTTTTCTTCATGCCTTTTCCTGGGTGGTGTTTGCCACGAACACTTACTTCCTGGCACAGAGACACCTTCTTGGCAATAAAAGCAACGATCTTTTAGAACCCAGAGCGGGGTTTTCAAACTGAACACTAGTGATATTTGGGGCTGGATCATTCTCTGGGGCGGGGGCTGTCCTGTGCGCTGCTGGACACTTAGCAGCGATCCCCCGGTTGTGACAACCAAAGCTGTCTCCCTACCAGGTGGCTTCTGGTTGACAGCCACAGATCCGGAGGATATTTGATGGGAATTAGCATTTAGGTTTCAGAAAAGGGCAGAAAAAGTGACGAAGGGGTATTTCGAGATTAGTAGGTGTAGCCAGCTGTGTCTAAGCCGGTGTCTTGCTGAAACATACAGCTGTGTGCTCGAGAATGACACTTTCTACTCCATCTGTTGGAGGCACTCAGGAAACAGAAACTCAGTCCCGTTACAACTGTCCTGTCATTGAACGCAGAGGCCACCAGGTATTTTCAAATAAGCAAGAAAAATAGCTTCACCTGTAAGTTTAAACTCAGCAAGAAAGACTGGAGGTCCTTAAAAATATTATTTCAAAACCTCCTGTGAGTCTGTCTTCTGCCTCTGCACTACGGAGACCAGCTCTGGACAAGGTTGAGGGGCCAACGTTCTGTTTCGGGACGGTTTTTGCAGAAGCTACCCAGAGAGGGTACAGGATGCTCAAAAACATTGACACCCTTCATCACCAGCGGAAGTGAACCCAAGGCTATTTACTCTTGAAAAATGAATTTGATTGACATCTCCCATTTCTGCTTTCTCGCGGATTACCCAACACCTCTCAGCTGTTTCCAGGGCTGTAGTTGTCGAGGAGGAGGAAGGATGGAGGGAGGGAGGAAATCCCAGCCTCTGTCGCAACAGGGTGAGAGTGTTTTAAAACGAGCACTGCTTACGAGCTATTTTCACTTTCTGGAAACAACTTGTGCAATTGTTGGTGACCATGGTTACCCAGGGCTCCGGAGAGGGGGGAAGGAGAGAGGTGGCAGGCAAACGTACCAGGGGAGAGACACCTCCTTGCTTGATGGAGACATTCGGGCTGGGGGTCCAGGGCTCTCCCTTGCTCACAAGGTGGGTTTCTGGACTGGCCACCTCCAGCCAACAAGGCAGGGGCTCTGCTGTCTGCCGTGAAACTTTTGTACCAGGGCAGCTGCCGGGGAGGGTCTCACAACCCTCCAATGCAAGCAACAGGTGGGTCACTGCACAAAGCAATGGTCCCCTCTAGTGGGGTCCGGGGACTCTTGGGAGGCAGACAGAGCAGGCTAACACCCTAACTCCACCTCTCCCTAGCTACCTCTCTGGGCCTCATCTGCAAGAGTGCCACGCATGGTTCTCAAATGTGGGTCTCACTTTTTTTTTTTCCTAATGGAATGGGGAACTCAGCCCGTAACGACTTGCAGCGGCTCATGTCAGAAACTCAGCATGTACTCCTTCAGAAAGCTTGCATGCTCCAGAAATTTGGTGAAAACCTCAGAAGCTTCCAGGAAAAGGTGAGGGTTTTTTTTTTTTGCAACCCAAAGGAGGCCACGTCAGTGCGCTCAGCACTTTCCCCAACTCTGGGGCAAAGGAGGCAATTTATGGCTCAAGGAACAATCTTAAAATAATCCTCCCTCGGTCCTAAAATGCAGTGTTTAAATTTATAGAAAAACCCACAGGTTCCTGGCAGCGGCAACCCCGGTGCCGGCCGGGGCAGGGCCCTGCGGGGCTGCCCTGCCTCAAACCGCCTGCTCCCCCCAGCCCCTCCCAAGGGCCCCAAACCCCCAGCTTCCAAGCAGCCAGACCACTGCTGTGATTTTTCAAAAGATGCAAAACTTCTTTTTTTAATTAAAAAAAAAACAGCAAAAGTCTTATAAAAAAACAAACCAGGCAGCCAAAATGCCCACCTGTCTCCCTATTTACAGTAATACAATATCTGTCACAGTCACTATGTACAATATTATAAAAAATGTCGCAGACAGTACAAATTAAGGCTGTATTTTTCACAAGGCATCAAGCCTCGAACCTCTAGTGTAGACCCGGTGGGGAAAAAGACGACACTTAATTATTGCACCATTTTGAAAACAAAACTCGTCAAAGAGGATCGTGGTCTTTTCCCACCGGGCCTCCAGTCACAGATGGGGGCTGGGGCAGTGGCGTCGTCGTTGTCGTCGGGGAGTTGGGGGTGGGGGAGGGGAGCCCTCCGTGGCCACGCTGTGCCCAGCCCGGTCTTCTGGGTCCAATAAATAGCAGTCACAGTTTGGGGGGGGCCGCACCCGGCGCGTGGGACCCGCCACGGCCGCGCGCAGGTCGGGGGTGGGGGCGGGGCGTCCGGACTACATGTGCCTCTTCATGTGCAGCGCCAGGTGGTCCGAGCGCGAGAAGGCACGGTCGCAGAGATGGCACTGGAATGGCCGGTGGCCCGTGTGCTTGCGGTAGTGGCGCGTGAGCTCATCTGAGCGCGCGAACTTCCAGCCGCAGCCGTCCCAGTTGCAGTGGTAGGGCTTCTCACCTGCAGGGAGGGGACGAGAGTGCCTCAGTTTCCCTCCCGGGACACACAGTACGCACGGACACTCGCCCAGATAGTGGCTACTTACGCGCGCGCGCGACCTATCCTTACCCAGTGCACTGAAGCGCTCCCACAGTTTTAAGCCCCTGGGGGTCCTCATAAGTCCCCTACTCCCCATCCTCGCCCCCCGGGGGGCACGGAGAGCGCGCTGTCCACTGCCAAGTGTTTCGAACCACGCCCCCAGAGGGACCTGAAGCGCGCACCCTCTGCACCGCTGTGGCACACAGCGTCCCCCAGGTCCCCTAAGCACACACGCCCTCCCCGAGCTTCTGAGCCACGCCCCCGGAGGGGTCCTAAGCCTGCACCCCCCCAACTTTCGGGGACGCAGCATCTCCCTAGGGTTCTCAAGCACGCGCCTTCTCCCCAACTTCCTGAGCCTAGACCCCAAGGATTCTGAGCCACGTCCCCAGCGGATGCTAAGCTTGCGCCCCCATCCCAACGTTCGGAAACAGAGTCCCCCTAGCCAGGCCCCAGTAAGTTTTCTAAGTGCGCTCCCCGCTCCCAACCTCCCGGGTCACGCCCCCTGGGTAGGGTTCCTTATCGCGACCCCCACCCGAGCTCCGCAGCCACGCCTCCAGGGAAGTCCTAAGCGTTCGCCCGCTCCGCAACCTCCCGACCGCTGGGGTCCCTACATTGCTCGCATCCCCCTCCTCCCGCGCCCGCGTCCCCTGCCCGCGCGCGCCGCCCACCTGTGTGCGTGCGCAGGTGCGCCTTGAGGTGGGAGCTCTTGGTGTAGGTCTTGCCGCAGCCCGCGTAGCTGCAGGTGTGGGTGGCGGTGCGCTTGCGGGGCCAGGAGCGGCGGCCGCGCTTGGGCTTGGCCTCCAGCAGCTCCAGCGGGGACGCGGGCGGCGTGAGGAGACCGCGGGCGGCGGGTGGCGCCAGGCCCAGGGCTGCTGCGGCAGCGGCCGCGTCGTCGAAGAGACCGAAGGCGGCGGGCGCGGGGGGCGCATAGTGCAGGCCGGGCCCGGGCGCGCCGAAGCCGGGGCCGCCGAAGGGCGGCGGGAAAGGCGCGCGCGGTCCGGCGGGCAGGCGCGCGGGGCCGTCGGGGCTGAGCGGCGGCGTGTCGGGCGGCGGCGGGGGGCGGCCCCCGGGACCCCGCATGCAGGCGGCTCCCGGTCCCGGGGCGCCCTCGCGCTTGAGGCCGCGCGGCCCGCGGGCCAGGCCGGGCGCACAGCCGTAGCCTCCGCCGCCGTCCGCTTCAGGGGGCTCGGCCTTGACCAGACGGCCGGGCGGCGCGAGCAGAAAGCGGCCGTGCAGCGCCGGCCCCGGGGGCGCGTCCAGCTCGGGCCGCAGCAGCTCGGACACCAGGCCACCCGCGGGGGCGCCGTAGGGCGGCGGCGCGCCGGGCTCGGGGTAGTAGAACGCAGGCGGCGGGGGCGGCGGCGGCGGCGGCGGCTCCGGTGCGGCTTCGGAGCCCAGGCCGTCCAGCCCCATGGATAGGATGAAGTCCAGCACGCTGTTGAGGTCGTCGTCGGTGCCTCCTTCCTCGGGCTCTGCGCGCGGCCAGCGCTGCGGGCGACAGGGCGGTAGGGCGCGGGCGTGAGCGAGCGCGGGCTCCGGGGTCTGCCTGCGGCCCCCGCCGCCCGAGTTCTACCGCCCTGAGCCCGCGGTCCCCGCCGCCCGTGCTCCGCCACTCTGAGCCCTCCGTCCCCGCCCGTGCGTTCTGCTCCCCGCAGCCCACGTTCTGCTACCCCGGGCCCGCCGCTCGCTCGCGGTCCCGGCGGCCCCCGCCGTCCCCGCCGCCCTCACCTCCTGCAGGCCGCGTTCGCGGCACGGGCTGGCGAATGTGGAGAAGGACGGCAGGATGGGTTCGCTCAGCGCCATGGCCGGGACCCGGGGAGGACGCGGACGGGGGACACCGGTGAGTGGCTCGCCCGGGACCGGGCCGATCGGGGCGCGGGCGGGCGGGGACGGCTCTGCGGGCCGCGGTCGGGCCCGCCCCAGCCTTATAGGCGCGGCGCGCGCAGGGGCCGGGCCAAGGCGGCGGCGGCGGAAACGCGTCCCGGATGGGGACGAGCTCCGGGCGCAGCCTAAATTTAGCCGCGGTATATAAGCCGGCGGGCGGCGGCGGCCGTGGCCACTGCGGCGGCCGGAGCTGTGCGCCGCCGGCCCGGCCCCCAGCGCGTCGCCAGGCCGCTCCCCCTGGCCGGGCCCGCCCCCGCCGGTCTCCGCGGCAACGCTGTCAACACGCGCCGCACAACAGCTCCGTGACGCCCAGGGATCCCCCGCGCCCCCGGGCTCCCGCCTGCGCAGGGATCCCGAGGACCCGGGCTGGGGTGGCGTCCCGGCCTCCCGGAGACCCGGGCCTCTCGGCGGGAGCACTAGACTCGGCGGCCTCCCCGACCCCTTGATGGAGGGGAGGATGGCTTCAGCCTCAGAGGGGTCCCCAGAATCCTAGACAGAGGGGAGACCGGGTGCCCAGGACTCGTGATGGGCGGGTGAGACTGGACCCCCGTTTGTTGCGGGTGCACCCAGAAGGACCCGCTGTGCGCCCACCACCCTATAAAAAACCTCGCATGGTAACATCGAGACATGTTGGCCCTTGCACGCCTGTGATCCAAGCACTTTGGGAGGCCAAGGCCAGAGGATCGCTTGAGGCCAGGAGTTCGAGGCTACAGTGAGCTACGACGGTGCTATTGTTTTCCAGGCTGGGCCAGACCCTGTTTCTAAAAAAGAAAAAACAAAACAAAACAAATGTTGAGTCTTTGAGACACTCTCCTACCTATCCACACGTCTCAACTAAGCCCTTTCACGGGCAGGGAAACTGAGGCAGGGGTGGCTGGGAGAAGTTGGAGGTCTGGCAGGCATTTACTGACTTGCATTACTGAAGCGACTCAGAGGACAATGACAATCATTCCGCTGACACAGACCCACAAGGGCATTGGGGAGCAATCGCGCCCCTTGGGAGCCTTCAACCCTCCACATCTGTCCCCCACGCCATAAACCTGCTGGCGAGGGACTGTCACTCCTTTTGCTGTGTGTCAGCCCTCTGCAGGCAACTGGGGACACAGCTGTCAACAGAGAGACAGAATCCCTGCTCTTGAGAGCGTGCACTCTAGTGGGGAAGGGGAGGGGGAGGGGAGGGGGCCAAAAAGAAAAACACGACAGCAGAAGGGACTAGGAAGTGTGTGTGGTGTGTGGGGGAGGGAAGGAGGGAAGATGATGAAATTTTGAACCTCACCCACGAGGTGATTTGTGAGACCAAGCCATACTACAGAAAGTCAGGGGGAGCCACGTGGGTATGAGAGGAAGAGCATCTCCAGGTGCAGCCTGGAGCCAGGTTGGTGAGGGGTGCAGGCAGCTCCCGGCCTGGCAGCTGGGATTCGCAGCCCCTCCAGAAGTGGACTCTATAGGGATCAACTCTGCAGCCTTTCCCACCACACCCGGCCACTAGAGGCTTCAAGGGAGCACAAACGCTTCCTGCAGCTGCCACCGAGCTGATTTGAGAGTCTGCCCCTGCCCCTCACCACGTGCTGTGTGACCTTGAGCAATGGCGTTGCCTCTCTGTGCTTCCTTCTCCATTTGTGCAATGCAGATAACAGTCCCTTACCCCAAAGGGATATTGTGAGGGTCACAAATGCTCTCTTGTTTTTTGTGGAAGTCGGTGACACTGTGTGACTCACACCGAGCTCTCTATAAATGCTGGAGAGATGAGCTAGCTGTGTATCTTCGGATCTAATTGCCTTTCTCTTGGACTCAGTTTCCCCATATGATAATAAGGGAAAAATTAGGGGAATCGATTCTCCACCCCCATCCCCCAAGGATGTACGATTCTCAGGCGACTGCTGGGGAGGGATTTTTGTTTGCTTGGTTTTTCTGTTTTTGTTTTTGTTTTTTTGCCAACACTTCTGACCTGAGCCTTCATCTCATTATTCAGACAGCAACTTGGTCCCCTCGGCCTCTGAGCCTGGTCCGATGTCCCCTGCAGCTCTGTCCACGGTGTCTCTCTTCCCCTCCTGCTTGGTCACTGTCTCCTTTCAGCACCTGAAACGCACCAAGCACATTCCTCCCTGCAGGACTTTCCCATCGTCCCTTCCTGCCCATGTCCACTCGCTTGGCTCGGGCTCATTTTTTAAATAAAGTCCCTTCATTAATGGACTTTATTTTTTAGAGTGGTTTTACGTGTGCAGAAAATTTGAGCAGAAAGTACAAGGAGTTCCCGTAGAGCGCCCCCCTCCCACACAAGGCTCGCACTATGATGAACATCTTGCATTATTAGTGGGGCAAGTTTGTTACAATCGTTGAGCAGATAGTGATACATTTATTATCAACCAAAGGCCACAGTGTACACGAGGAATCGCTCTTTGTGTTGCACATTCTGTGGGTTTTGACAAAGTGTCAAAGTATGTCGCATAGCCACCATTGTAGCATCATGCAGAGTAGGGCCACTGCCCTGAAACTCTATGCCTGTTTCGTCTTTTCCCTTCCCCTGAATTCCTTGGAAACCGCTGATCTTTTTACTGTTCCTACAGTTCTGCCTTTTCCAGAATGTCATAGAGTCGCAATCACAGTCTGTCGCCTGTTCAGACTGCCTTCTTTCACTTAAGAATATGCATTTAGGGTTCCTCTGCGTCTTTGGTGGCTTGATAGGTCATATTTTTTGTCACCGGGTAATATTGCACTACTGGATATACCAGTTTGTTTACCTGTTCACCCACTGAAGGACGTCCCGTTGCTTCCGATTTGGGGCAATATATCCGCTGCAATGACTATGTATTGAACGAAGCTGCTATAAACAGTCCCATGCAAGTTTTTGTGTGGCTGTAAGTTTTTAGATGGATTGGGTAAATACCAGGGGGTGTGATTGCTGGATCGGATGGTAAGAGTATGTTTAGTTTTCTAAGAAGCTGCCAAACTGTCTTCCAAAGTGGCTGCATCATCTTGCAGAGTATCCCACGCAGTGTGTGGCCACATGGAACGTTTGATTTGATCAGCTGTGTTCCTCAAGCCTGGCACAGCACATAGTAGGTGCTTAATAAACACTCACTGAATGGGTGAAGAAGCAAATGAGTGGCGGCATCGCTCAAAGCTTCCCTGGGTGTCTCCTCCCTCCTGCAGGACGGGCCACATTCCCCTCCTCTGCCCAGCTTCCGGCGGACCTTCCTCGTCACCATGAGGAGTGGGTTCAATGGTGGCCCCAAACAGAAACGTCCACGTGTTAATCCTGCTACCTGTGAATGTGACCTTATTTGGAAAGAGTGTCTTTGCAGATGTCATTAAGGGTCTTGACGTGAGAGCGTCCTGGATTAGGGTGGGCCCTAAATCCAGGGACGAGTGTTCTTAGAGAGAGGAGACAGAGACACAAACCCTGAAGAGAAGGCCACGTGAAGACGGGCGGACAGTGGAAAAATGCAGCCGCAAGCCAAGGAACGCCGGGAGCCCCCGGAGCCTGGAGAGAAAGCGGGACAGATTTTCCCACAGCCCTGCTCACACTCTGATTTGGGACTTTCGGCCTCCAGAAGTACAAGGGAATCCATTTCTGTTGCTGGAAGCCACCCGGTTCGTACCTTTTGTTGTGGCAGCCACAGGAAACTCATACATCATGGTAACCAGCTGTTCTCCAGCCTGCTTCCTCGCCAGATGGGGAACCCCTCGCAGCGGGGGCCCCCCCGACTCATCTCTGTCGCCCCTGGGCCCAGCTGTGGGCCTGGTGTTGAAACAATTGTGATGTGAAGGTAGCGGCCACCCACCGAGGACCTGCCAGGCCAGCATGAGCTACTTCAGCTGAGCACCCGGCCAGCGGGACCAACTCAGAGAACCACCGATGCACGGAAAGAATGTGAACCTTAGTTGCCACTTTAGCTGTGTGACCTTAGGCAAGCCACTTAACCTCTCTGAGCCTCCGTTTCCTTGTGAGACTATGAGACGGCATGTGCCGATGTTTAACAGTACTTGCCGCCGGACTGTGGGGTGAGCAAATGAACCAGTCAGAGGATGCCAGGCATTGTGGAATTTCTCAGGCTCAGCACGGGGGCACGGGGGCAAGGGGGTGGCTTGGAGCACGGCCCCGCTCATGCTGCCACCATCAACCTGCTATCCAGACAGTGCCTGCCTGTGTAGGTGCGTATCCTCGTGAAGTCTCAGCCAATGACGATATTGGAGAAAGAGCATTAGACTTGAAGTCACATTCCCAGCCCTGCCTCTGACCCTCAAAGCTTCACAGCCTCCGAGCAGCCTGTCCCATCAACTGCCAAGTGGGAGAGAATAAGTCACATCTCCACGGGTTATGGAGTCAGTAAGGGAAATAGTGGTGCTGAACAACAAGGAGGGTACTAAGTAAACCAGTACTTAGTACTAAGCACTCAGCACTAAACACCAAGTAAACCAGTACTCAGTACTAAGTACTTGACACTAAACACTAAGTAAACCAGTACTTAGTACTGAGTACTAAACACTAAAGTTTACTAAGTAAATCAGTACTTGGTACTAAGCACTAAACTCTAAGATTTACTTAGTAAATTTTTCCCTTCTCCCTAAGTATCACTGGTAAGTTCCTCAAAGGTAATGACCAGCCTTGGGCCCTGGTATTCTCCTATCCAGTTGGGGACTTTATGCCTCTCAATGGTGATTTCCTTGTTCTCATCTCTCCCAAGGCCCTTCCTCCGCTCCTAACCACCCAGCATAACTAGTCTAGACCAAGGAGGCAGATGTTTCCTTGAACCCATTGATAACAGTTGCTCTGAGCACTGCACAGATTCATATTCAAGCTCTGTACTTGAGAACCAGTGCAGTGATTGACTGGTCATGTCTGTGTGTGATTGGTGATGTCTGTCACCAGCAGAGGATTGGGTAAGTGGTATGTGTGCCACTTTGCATTTATCATCGCCTGCCAGGCTGTCTTCAAGGGCTCAGGAAATTTGCAAATCGGACGTTTTTAGTTTGAGCCACAAATAAATGTTGAGCTCATGCTGGGCATGGAGAGGAAGTTAGAAGTGCATGGCTGGTTTCTGCCCATAGAGAGATTACAACCTCCT